AAAGGGGTAATTAACTATAGGGGCTTGCGCCTATAGGAAACCAGAACTCAGATCATAAAGTCCTCGCAAAATGAGGACGAAATCTCTGGGTAGTGTCTTATCTACAAACCCATCTGCCTTCCAAAATTTACCTCGGAACTTAGTTCGTTAAAACTCCCTCGTCGAATAAGAAAAGCGAGTGGAGGCCGAGGCCGAATTTTCGGAGCCCACAGTTATCCTTATGAAATGTAACAATACATAAAATATTGTATTTACCTGTAGGGTGAGTAGCTCAAGAGAGATGAACTGTTGTAAGAATACATTTTTCATCTATTCTTCAAACAATTTTGTCAGTCTATTCGTGGTCCTTAGCAATTATAAAAAGTTGGAAATATCATTCACATTTGTATACCTTATATTATTGGAAATTAAAGGTGATCAAATCTTATTATTCTTCTGGTTAAGTTCGCCTTTCAGTTGCATTTTGTTTTATAAACATGCTTTTAACAAGGCGCCTAACCTTTCACTGCTTTGATGTATTCTGTGTTGGTAGAAATTTTGGCCAATCCTTGCATGCAAGCTTAGGCATTTTTTTTCTCAACAAGCAATAAATGTGTCGATGTAAAATTTTTAGTTAGGTTCATGCGAAGAAAGATTCAGACATTACAGTCTGTATCCATCAAGAATGAAGATGATGAATGTTGAATAATAAAGATCTTATGTAGAAGTTATATCATTGTAAAAGTTGCTTTTGAGTGCATTGTGATTTCGTGTCTTCTTCACCATGTTATTCCATTAATATGTTTTCCTGCACTATTGTTCTTCTAAAAACTTGCAATATTATGCAGGTTTTTCCCTGAGAATGCCACAGAACTAGCCTTTGGTATTGTTGGTGAGCTGATTAAGGTTTGTATAATTTAGCTTAACATACTCCAACAATTTTTTTTTTTCCGCGGGTGTTTTCTTCTGCTATAAGTAACCTATAGTTTCTGAAATAATTATGAAAATTTATCAGGCTAAGAAAGTTTTTCCTTCTGCTATAAGTATCTATAAGTTGTGAAATAATTGAGAGAATTCTTCCAGTTTATGAAGTCAAATTGCTTGGTTACTGTTTCATACCTTTTTTTTTTCTTTTTTTTTTTTTACTGTTTCATACTATGAATGTCTTATAATTGGAAATCTTAAAGCAGTATTCCCTTTTTCCATTTATTCATGTAATTGAGGAATCGAACTAAAAATATTATTTTAGAGTGTCAATATAGTTAGTATATATTGAAGATAAGGTAAGTGGAAAATAGATGTGGCTTGGGTATGTATACCTGATAGCAGAAAAATAGATTTAATTAATGTGAAATGATTGGAAAGGAAAATGGGTCTATTGTTCAGAGTGATGGTGAAATAGATGGGGATATGATTAGTAGAATTCAAGTTGGATGGTTGAAGTGGAGGAATGCATCGGGCTTGTTGTGTGATAGAAAAGCCCATCTTAAACTCAAGGGAAAATTCAATGAGATGGTAGTGAGACCGGCAATGCTTTATGGTGCAGAATGTTGACCATTAAAAGAGCAGCATAATATTAATTAAGTGCTGCAAAGATGAGGATGTTCAGGCGGATGAGTGTCTTAACTCTTAAAGACAGGATACAAAATGAGCGTATACGTGAAAAGGTTGGAGTATCTCCAGTGGAAGATAAGATTAGAGAGAGTCGTCTTAGATGGTTTGTTCACAAAAAACAGCGGCCTTTCGATGACCCAGTTAGGAAAGTAGATGTATTAGATTTAACTTATGTAAAGAAAGGTAACTGTAGACCTAATAGACTTGGTTAGAAAATATTAGAAATTACCATTCTTTTTTAGATTTAAATGAGAATTTGACTCTTAACAGGACACAATGGAGAAAAATGATTCATGTAGCCGACCCCATGTAGTGGGATAAAGGCTTGTTGTTGTTGATGATTGGAAAGGAAAATGTGTAGACCAAAGTTAAAATGATTATGTTTAAAGTCATGCACAAAGATTTCTGCAAAACCAAGTTAATGCTTCATGCATTCATCAGGAGTGGAGGATCCATAAAGCTTTGTTATGATAAGGCTAAGGGTGATGAGTTGAACCATGTAAGCTTTGTTTATGATCCATGCTATTGCTACCGTAGCAGTCCTTCATGACGTTAGGCTATCGTGTGAAAGTAATAAACCCTGAATTTATCTGTGATGTGAGGTTTTGGGGAGTTTGGAAACTCCAAGTTATGTTTCATTAGTGCTCTCGGGTTGGATTATTTTATTAACAGCATTTTTGAATTTTGATCCTACTTTCTTGATCTAGTTTTAGTGATGCTGCTAATATCAGCCCTCGTAGATACTAATGAATTGTATGTCTAACGCTGTGGGAGTTACAGGAAGTAAAAATTAGGCCAATGCCAATTGTACTTGCAGCTTTTTCAGCTGGATCGAAGGGTTATTTTTTCAAGGTTCTCCAGGTACAGTGTTTAGTGATATATGGAAAATTTGCCTCTTTATAGTTGAATCAATGATCATTCCCCTTCACATTTCTAATAAAATTTTGGCCCTTCTCTGCAGTTGGTTGATGGAAAATGTGCAGGACAACACAATCAGGTATGCCTTACTGTTTTTAGTTGCTGTTATTTGTGTCATTCCCTGAAACTACTACTTTATGGTTATAAATTTGAGTACTAAAAATGGTTGGCTTCTGCCCTTAAAGATTGGTTTTACGCTAATTGTTTCTGTTTTGAAAACAATATAACTGTTTACTTTTATCTTACAGGATGATTTTTTGCTGCTGAGAGATTGTATCTCCGGGCAAATTTATGACTCTTGTCCTGTTGATTTCATCAATGATCTCGGGCTCCAATTTGTGCTTCATTCGTCAGTTTTAAAGATGTCCTATCCACCGAGAGTTGTGTCATGGATGGCGAAAGCTTTTGCATCTGGTTTGGATGCTCTCTTCCTCAACAGTTTTGAAGCACAGCGAGCTGAATATTGGAAGACTTTGTATTCCTCAGTTGTAAAGCTCTGTCATGTTTCTTTTTTGGTTCTCCATTTCTTCAAACATACAATTCCATCATTTCTTTGATTTTTTGGATCTGATATAATTGCAGAGCATGGGTCCTTTCATTATACTTTGCTCTGAAGATGATAAGCTGGCTCCTTACCAAACTCTGTACAGTTTTGCCCAATGTCTACAGGAGCTTGGTGCTGATGTTAACCTTATCAAATGGAGCAGCTCTCCTCATGTAGGTGAGTTTTTTCAGTATAGTTAATTATTTGATAGAATGAAGCTTGTTTAGTGGTGTCTCGGGTAACATAACTGATGTAACTACTGATCTGTAACACAAAAATGCCTGTCTATCTACTTGTGATGTATCTGCATATCTCTAAAGCACTTTCACTCTGCAGATATACATTGCATAAGCACTGAGAAGCTACTATTCTTTAAGCACGTTTTAGTTCATTAACACTTTTTGTTAGGAATAATTATGGGACAGAAGTGAAGGTGTGTTGAGGGAGAAATTATTAGGTTCGGACACCGGACAAAGAGAATCAGATGTAGCAGCTGCGCTTTGACTGCGCTTTTACTGAAGACAGAGAGAAATCTGGATGATTCTCTTTGTCTGGTGTCCGCACCTAATAATTTGTCGTGTCGAGGACATACAATTAATAACTTGGTAGGGTATCATTCCATTACGTCATAGAAGCTTTGCAGCAGAAGTTAAAATCTTATCTTCTATATTCTTTTTCAGCTCATTATAGGCACCATCAAGATGAATACAAGGCTGCTGTAAATGAGTTTCTTGCCAAAGCATCTGTTAACTTCTCAAGTAGACAGCTTAAACGAGCTATGGATGACAAGATACCGGAGTCTGTCTGCTATCTCCACGATGCAGCTTTTAGTTCAAATGAAAGCCTAAGGAGAGTAGCCATTGGACCGAGCGACCATTTCTACTTGCCAAGCTCAATGGAGTTCAGTGAAGCTAAAGCTGGAGGGTCCTTGATTGATGAACAGAAGGCAGAGCTGTTCCAGCTTCCAAGCCTTAAGCCCCAGGGGATCCTCAGCCAGGTCCTCTTCGATGTTTGTGTTCCTAAAAACATTGAAGGTTGGGACATTAAGCCAATTTCATCCTTGAACAGAAATCATACATTTGCTTCTGCTCGTAGGAATGGCCCCTTTAATCCAATCAAATGCATTAGACGCTCCAGATTGTAGGATTTCTTTGAGAAATCATCCAATATTGAGGAACTCGATGTAAATATGAGCAGTTTTAGTATCCTTACTGTTCGAATATAGATCATCTTATAGGATATGATTTCAACCTTTATGTTGCGAGTGAAAGCAAACAATAACTCGTTGTAATGCTTCAGTATTTATAAATGTTATCTGATGCAAAACACATGTTTTTATGATGTAAAGAGTGCTGCGTGCAGATATAGGCTTTGTTTGGGATGGCTTTCTTAAAATTTTTGTACTAAAAAGCTATTTTTAGAAACAGTAAAAAACTATTCCAAATGAAATCGCAGTTTTCTTATCTGTGAGATTTTTTGTTGAAATAAGGGGTCCTTTCTGGTGGCATTTGTTGCGGGGTCTGTTTGGTGTGATCTTATTGGTATTTGGATAACAGCTACCTAACAACAGTTGTCCTATTGTCAAAATTTGATCACCAATATTAAATAGTTGTCATCCAATCACTATTGTTTGATCGCCGTTATTTAGTGATCATTGAGTCATCATTGTCGATCCACCATTGTTTGATCCGTTGTATTAGACAATCGCTTTATGATTATCGTGAATGAATCATCATCTTTCGACCACTGTCATTAAAACATCATTGCCTGACCTTGTTGTCAGATCTCAGTCGCTTGATCTTCCCACTAGATTATAATTTCCTGAACAAAATCATTAGATTGTCATCACTCAATCATGCCATCAAGTCATTACTATCTGACCATCATCATCGAATTATTAAAACCCTATCACTGTTATTGGGTCACCATTGTTTGATCATTTTCATCCAGCTTCGATTGCCTGACTATGATCGTCGGATCATAAGAGCCGAACCACCACTATTAGTTCGATCGCACGCCCATCTTTGTCAAACTGCCTCTTCCTAATCATAGTAGCACTAAAACAATCCAACAACTGTTATAGAATTGCCACATTCTAACCACTATCATTTGACCATTGTTGTCTGATTGCCACCGTTGAATCATAGTCAATCAATCACAGTGGTCACAACACTATCATTTGACTATTGTTTGAAAATAATCTCTAGACCACATTCCCCTAAATACATTCTCCCGACCACTATTCATTCACAAATTATGGTTTCATAACCATCCGACTATAATCTCTCAACCAATATCACCAAATACAACAATGTCTATTGTCTTAGTTGCCCATCATCACCGCCAATATCGACACATTCCATTGACACTTGCCGATTTCATTGACCACCATCACCACCACTATCAATGCATGCTAATACATGATGTCAACACCAAGGACACTTGTTGACCTCATTGCTATCGTCGCTAACTACATCATTGCTTCTCATCTCCTATTAGTATTTTGCAACTTCTCTTTTATCCGTGTTTAATTTATTTTTGCATAAAAAAAAGACAAATATTATTTTCCTTACCACTGCCATGTAATTCATAATTTGAAATTCAAAATTTTATTTATATTTATTAACAAAAATAAATTTATTAAAGTCAAAGCTACCTTTTAAAATCAATTAAATGTTAAGCACTTGTAAAGTTCCAAGTTTTGGGCGATTTCATGGGTCCAACCATCTAATTAGCATGAGCAAGGCCTACCCGCGGTTCACAACCGGTCCAGTTCAACCAGGCCAATGCACGTTTCCCATCTAAAGTATTAAAGACAGTTTTAAAAAACATTAGTCAGAAAATGGAGTTTTCTAACTGAGAAGCATATATAAAACGCTTTTCCAAAACTGTAGAAAAATGGAAAAAAAAAAGAGTTATTGAGAATGTGATTTGACAAATGAATAAAAATTATAATTTTATTTATATAAATATTAAATAATCAACTTTTTATAATACTTAAATATTAAAATATCATATAAATAAATATTAAAATTTAAATATTAGATATTATAAATATATAAAATACAGTTATTAAGAGAGAGAGAGAGAGAGAGACAGAGAGAGAAAACGTAGGACAGTTCTGTCCTTATTCTTATATTTCCCTCCTTGGTTCCCAGCATTTTCTTTCCTGGCTCTCCGAAAAACCGTCGTCATTCAGTCGAATACGCGTCGAAAGGATCAATTTCCTCCACGCATTGCCGCGTTACAGATAGAATGCGCTCGATTTCGTCCTTGCGGCATATTTTGGGCAAAAGCAGAGAACTTCCCTTGAATTCCTCGCGGTTGATCGATCTGGCCGCTTAGGTTCCGGCAATGTCTTCGAGGGGATGCTCCGGCGGCTCCAGCTGCTCGGGCGGGGATGGAGGGTCGGTGTCGCTGGCGACGCTCATGAAGCGGGAGAATTCGATAGAGAAGATGGAGAAGCCCGACATTCTCCACGGATATGCCAATCACTGCAAGAAGGGGGAGGACTTCACATTTCTCAAACCCGAATGTCAGCGTGTCCACGGGAATTGCGTCAGCACCTTCTCTGTATTTGGGGTATGATTCAACTTTTTGGTTCTTTCTCGTGAATTCTGGATATTAATGGGAAGGGAATAATTGTTTTTCTTGATTTCGATGCGTAATTTGGGTCAATCACTTGCTGTTAGCATGTCCGCGGGGTTTGATCCGTGAGAGGCGTGAGATCTACGTGTTTTTAAGTTGGCTCAGCGTGGCATTTGATGATAGAAAACGACATTGAATAGATTATCTGAGATGATTGGGATAGGCTTTGTTGGAACTAATTCTGTTGGTCTTCGTATGTAGGGAATTTTGATTATGTTGGTGGATGTGATGGTAAGAAGTTTCTAATGCCAATGCGAATTTATTGTTTAAGTTTCTGCCCCTAAAATTGGTTTATTGTTTTATTCTTGTTTAGATCTTCTAAGACATGTATGTGAATTTATCGTTCAAGCTTTTTGCTTGAATTGGGTTTATGGCTTTTTTCTTGTTTAGACTTTAGATCTTCAAATATATGCATACTCTGTACTCCGAGGAGCAAATATGGAGGAGAAATCTGAACTATGTTGAATTATTATTGAGTTATATTTATTAAAATGATCAGTTGTTGAAGTAAGAGGTGGCAGGGACGCATGAACGGACAAAGATGTTCTTTTTTAAATAATCAGCATATAAGCTTTTCTATATTTTTTGCATGAGGAGGCACAACAGTATCAGTTGCCTTTTCATTAAATGTGCTGAAATAGGGATCTTATTTAGTCCATTAGTTGTGGTGGCAAAGCTCTTTTTTGACTTAAGATGAATATTAAACAGTTAAATATGTAGATTTAACATTCTCGTTTAACCACTCTCTTTTTTAAGCTCTTTTTTGTAATCCCATTGCATGCTAACCCTTTTATGTTTGCCATAGAACTTGATTGTTACTGCTATCCTTTTATTTTGATGTATTTCTTCCCATTCTTTATGTTCACACATAAACGTGCAATCATTTTTGTTTGCCTTCTTCAGATATTCGATGGTCATAATGGATCGGCAGCTGCTATATATGCTAAGGAAAACCTTTTAAACAATATTTTGCGTGCCATTCCTTCAAATCTTGATAGAGATAAATGGTTAGCAGTTCTTCCAAGAGCTTTGGTTGCAGGGTTTGTTAAAACGGATAAAGATTTCCAAGATAAAGGTAAGAATATTTGACAGTTTGGAGATTATGCATCTTCCCATGATGTACTAATGTTTTTTGCATTTCGTCGTTGCATTTTGGCTAAGATTGGAGTATCAAAATACTGTCATGCCATCGATTTATTTTTATTTGTTTTCTTAAGACTTGAAATTGAAACTTAATTTACCCTTACGTCAATGATACTGTTTCTTAATTTATTTTATTCATATTTTCAGCACAGACTTCAGGAACAACTGTCACATTTGTAATTATAGATGGGTGGGTAGTAACAGTAGCATCAGTTGGAGATTCGCGTTGTATTCTGGAATCTGAAGGTTCACTCTATATTCTCTCGGCAGATCACAGACTAGATGTTAACATAGAGGAGTAAGTGCGCTTTTCTTCTGTTATAGTGATTTGTAAGAAGGGTTCCTATACAGTTTTATGATGTATTCTCTTACAGGGTGGAACGTGTTACTGCAAGTGGGGGTGAAGTTGGTAGACTGCATGTTGCTGGAGGAGCAGAGGTGTGTTCTTACTTATGAGGAGTCAATTTTGCATTTTGTTTCATATGAAGTTAATTTTGTGTGATCAACATTAATTTATCCGTAACCATTGCTTTCTCCTAATCCATAGGTAATATTTCTGGAAAGTATGTCTGATTATTTATTATTATTTACAATATTTTCTTTTTTGCATGATGGCTCCATAAGGTTGTTGGTTATGGTTTGGTGGAGCATATTATCTTTTATGCGCTTTAAATGATGCTGATTTGAAATAGGCAAGCCTTATTATGCTACTATGAAATAACGGGTCGGGTTTAGGTCCTGATTTTCAACCCGTTTTGAATTATGGGTCGGGTACGGTTCAACCCAGAAACCCAGTTTTGCTTGCATGCTCGTCGCGTGACTCGCCTCGCTGCTTAGGCTGCGATAGATTTACGGGATTTGGCTGAATAAGCGCGCGAGGATTTGGCTGAATAAGCGCTTGAACGGAGGCTGGCGACGGCAGATTTACAGGATTTAGCTGGATAAGCGCATGAATGGTGACAGACTTACGAGTTAAATCGGGTTCGGGTCTGAAAAAAATTGACCCGTTTTCAAAAATGGGTCGAGTTTGAGTCGGGTCAGAAAGTGCCGAGTCAGTTCCCGGTTAGATTTGAACCCGATATGTTACTCGATTTTGACAGCCTTAATTAACACATTCATTAATAGTTGTAGGAGAAAGAAAATGATTCAAAGGTCAAGACATAGCATATGGTACGCATTGGCCACCCATAATGCTACTTAGAATGATAGGAGATGATTTGAGAGATGCTTTAATTTTGGTTTGAATTTGACTAACATTATCTTGAGCATGTGCCGTTGTTTCCACCAAGGTTAAGCTGATTGTATTATGAGGTTCCAATTCTAAATATCTATTTTTCTTATGTGAGCTAAGCATATTGCCATAACTGTGACAATATGAACACTACATTGGAATTTTTCAAAATGATCATTTACTAATACCCATAATTTTGGGAGCCAATTTAGATAAGATTTAAAAAAGTTTGAGTAATATCAAATTCCAACAATCTGTGAGCAACAGAAAGCTCGGACATATTTGCAATTCGTACATCAACTCGCACATGAGTGCCATAAATTTTATTGGGAGTAAATGATTGATTTATTTGACAGGTGTAACTTAAGTTGAGGAAAAAAGATCCAAATAGGGCAACTGAAATTTTTGAGCAAAATGCAAAGATTGGAGACCGTTAATCCCATTAAAAATCATCTATATTTATCAGTCTTTTAATAATAATGGATGTTCAATTCTAAACTCTAGTGAATTTCAAAATAATATATTTGTGGTTGAGGAGAGCCATAAAAAAATTCTCTCACGAACTACCTAGAGATAATTCCTAATGAATTGTACTGAAGGAAGCTCGGCCAAAAACTTGTCAACAAACACAAACTAAATAGTCACAACTTGCAACTAACCTTTCAACAACATCTTCAACAACATCTATGGGAGTAATAATTGTTGGTTTACCTTGAATTGAAGATGACAGGAAAGGTTGAATGTGTTTCTTGCTCCAATATTAAGCATGTGAATTAATAACCTCATTCCTTTGGCTCTTGCTAGACATGTTAATCAGATATCTTTTCGGTACTAATGAATCCGGAGCACGAGATCTCTTGGGAGAAGTTATCTTGAAAGAGTACTTCTCAAGACAAGGTATCGAGAGCCCTAGGCTAGATGGTCATTAAGAGGTTGAGAAGGGAGTTGATGGATCTTGATCCTGACATATTGCACCAATCCACCAAGATGACAACATCGGTTGACTTTGAGAATGGAGCCGATGACAGGTCAAGAGAATGACCTTCCCAAATGATAGTTCTCTGTTGTCCTTGCTGTCCTAATGAGGGTTAGGATTACTTAAGTAGGACATAAGGTCAGGCTTTTGGTCATTGTAGACCAATAAAGAGGGTTAGATTGGATTTTGAACCAAACTAGTCTAAGGCTTAGTTTTGAGGTAGGATTGAGAACTAGGTTCACCTATTATGCTGAGGTGATAAAGAAGTCCATCAAAGTGACTTAAAGTCCTAGCTTGGGTAATACTATGGTTAGGGTGATTGGGCCGTGACAAGAGCTTTCTGGTCTGGATACCTAAAGATGGGATGTACATTGGGAGACCTTGAAGGGTCAAAGAAGAGGTCAACAACCCTATGAGATAATAATAATAATAATAACAAAATTGTTCTATTTTTTATTATAAGTTCCAAAATAATTATTTCTCGTGCAAATGCACATGGTAATTTGCTAGTATGGAATTAAAGATGGGAGTTAGACTAGTTTATACACTGGATATAAGCCTGCAATGTGGGTTGTCCACTTTGTAGGTCGTTTTAGTTTTTAACTACTAAAGCATATTGGATTTCCATTTAGCAATTCATTCGTGACCTTGTGTATCGTTGTAATTGAAGGCCTTCAACTTAGGTTAACTGTAGGTTTTTTAAAGTGCTTTACACATTTGGTTGTTTTGAGTACTATGAATTCTTGTCTTTTGTAGAACATAAGTGATTTGATTACCGAGGTGATCGATTTTGTATTATGAATGTGATTTAGGTGTGATTTACTCTTAAATATCATGGATGATCCAAACAATATATTAAATTTATGCATTTACCGCTCCAAATATGCGAGCTCGCATCTTTAATATCTAATAAATTGTGGCATATGAATTAATTATAACAAATTCTACCATGAGGCACTTTAGTTTATATTAACATGCATAGAAGCTTCTCATATTTATTTTTTTAATGTTAGTTTCTTGTTCATATAGCTTCCATCCCTGAACATTAGCATTTATATTAGCCAAGTTGCTATCTTTGTATTTGATAATGGACATTGGTTTCCAGATTGGACCGCTCAGGTGCTGGCCTGGTGGCTTGTGTCTTTCAAGATCAATTGGAGACATGGACGTTGGTGAATTCATTGTACCTATTCCCCATGTCAAGCAAGTAAAGGTATATCAACGGTTTGATTGATTACTTGGAAGAACAATAGCTTAATGAATTCAAAGGGTACTATGAGCAGGCCAATTATTTAGTCAGGATACCATATCTATAACATTTTTTTTTATTGTTTGATACCATGTTTAATTTAACTAAATTATTGTGCTGATTGCTTTAATGATTTCTCAATAGATAATGATGTCTGTTGCATTGAACTGCCTTTGCAGTGCAATAAGTACATCAGCTACTGTAGATTAGTTTTATTAGAGAGCCATATGTTAGCACTTAGCAACATGCCATTTTGTAATTCTTTTACAAATAGCCAACTTTCTGTACATATTTAGACTTCGTTTGGGACAGCTTTTTTATTGCTACTTAAAGCAGTTTTTTAGTTTAAAAATTAAAATTTTTATACTAAAAAGCTGCTTTAAAAAGCAATAAGAAAGCCATCTCAAACGAAACCTTAGTCATACTTAGTAAAATTGGCCTTTTGTTCAATCATTTGTCAACTACAGTTGATTTTTTATGTTTTTGGGTTATTGCATCGTTACGATCTAGCTTAGCTTTTGAGATCGAAGTCTTCTCATGTCACTTTATACCATTTCTGCAGCTATCAACTACTGGCGGTCGACTTATCATCTGTAGTGATGGTGTCTGGGATGCTTTAAGCTTTGAGTCAGTTTTGCGATGTTGTCACGGGCTTCCAGCAGATGCTGCTGCTAAGCAAATTGTTAAAGTATTTTTTTAATTAATGTATATTCTTCCATTATTTATGTTTATGTAATGTCTACTGTTTTACTAATTAGGTGTTTGAATTCCAATTGCAGGAGGCTGTGCAGTTTAAAGGACTAAGAGATGATACCACCTGTATAGTTGTTGACATATTGCCATTTGAAAAAATATCTCCTCCTATTGTACCACCTAAGAAGCAAGGCAAGGGAGTATTTAAGAAAATGTTCCGCAAAAAGTCATCTGAATCATCGACTCATCATTCTGATGAAGATTATGCTGAACTAGATATAGTTGAGGAACTGTTTGAAGATGGCTCTGCAGTGCTTGCTCAGAGGTTTGTATTTTATATTTTAACTTACTTGATCTTCTACTTTCATTTGTAGTTGTAAATAATCTTATTTTCAGCATGTTTAGCTCAATAATATAAATAATTTCTAGCACCTAAGTTTTGGCAATCTACTTATAAATATTTTATCTGATAATGTTTTTTTTTTTTCACTTTTTCAATATGCTCATACCTGCTTTAATTGATAAGATTATTTTCTAGTAAACGAAAAACTCATGCTATCATCTTTTGCTATTGCATTTTGTAATAGAACTTTTTATGCCTTTGCTTTAAATCATTGAGTATCTACACAATTACAAAATAAATACTTAATTTTACTTCGATCATCTACGAGCTTGCTGCTAAAAATTACTAGATCTTTCAGATAATGCTAGAAAAATAAAAAAGCTCTTAAATCTAACAATTAATGGGTAATTAAGGCTTAAAAATTTCTTATGTTTTTGTATCAGAAAAGTATTATTTGGATGATATTATCTTGAATCAGTTTTTGTAGGAGCTTTAGAGTTGAACTTAGTAAGAAGAGTAATCAGAAATTTAATAATATTTTAGTAAATCAAACATCTGATAGATTTATCGAAAAATTGTTACTCGATTTGCTCATGATTGACAAGGTGGGAATCAAAGGACATAAAGGTTAATAGTATTTTTTTCACTATGTCAGAAAAGATCAAGAAATATGAATTGTAACTCATAAACCATGGATAATCATGAAAAGACTATATGATTTCAACTGTGGTTCAGGAATAATTTTGTGTACTCCATTAAATATCTATCGAACAAAGGTAAAACATACAGTCTAGTAGTTATATATAGTTATAAAACTAGCAAATGTTCTTATTTAGGAGTTGGAGTTTCTTAGATGGCTAATCTATAGTTATTTGTTTGATTTGTTACTTAACGCTTTTTTCACTTGTTCTTGGAACACAAATTAATTGTATGCATTTTAAGTATATAAAGAATATTATAATTTTGTAATATTGCCGAACTATATAACAGTAAGGGGATGTTTGGTAGCGGGATTTAAGCAAGATTTATGCTGAATTTGTCATAACTCCTGCCAAACAGTTTCAGAGCGTGCAGTAAATATGATCGATTGTAAATCTGAATTCACGAACTTACGCTGTAAATTTGATATTTACTAAATCCTGTTGTTTGGCGGATTTAACAAGATTTATGAGTTTGCAAAGTTATTCCATAGCGAGCGAGCGATCTCCAATCTTGAATGAGAGGAAGATGATTACCTTCGCATCAAGCCAACTTTCGACGTGACTTCCAATCTGACGTTGTTGGAGGAAGTGAATAAGCTTCTTTGGTGACTCTTCTCAACACATTGCTTCATGCAAAACATGGCAGGCCGAAGTAGCAACGAAGAAATGATGACGAACAAGCAACAGGCTAACAACAATGAAGAAATGGAGATGAAAATCCAACCCTAGAAGACCTCCATCCAATTAATCTAATTTAACATAACTAATATAATTTAAAATATCACTAATTAATTAAATAATTAGTAGTAGAATTAGTAATATAATTAAATAATCTAATTAAACTTAATTAAATAAGTATTAGTACAATTAATAATTAATAATTAATATAATTAGCTAGGAGCACTAGTTTCATAAATAGCTTTTTTTATAAAAATTAATTAATTAGATAATTATTAATATAATTAGATGTTAATTACTTATTAAATTAATACTTAAATAAGTATTTTGATAATTAGTACTATAATTAGTAACTAAACTATTAATTAAATTATTTGATAACTAAAAAAACTTCTAATTATATTATTTATCATTATAAGTTATTGGGGGTAATTAAAATTGAAATTAATTAGTAACTTTACTTAACACACAAATTAAATTCAAAATATATTACATTTAATTTTAAATAAACCAACCGCCTTAAATCCTGGATTACATTGCCAAATAGTTTCATAGGATTTAGCATGATTTAATAGCTATCTTGTCAAACAGTTTTTAAAATTTAACATATCCAGGATTTACTAAATATGAATTTACAGGATTTACTAAACCCAACTAAAATTAAATCCTACTTATTGCCAAACAACCCCTAAAAAATGCAAGCAAATTTGATTCATTTTAAAAATTTCAAGTTCCATGACGCTATTCTTGTATTGAACACTTTGGAGAGCTTGTAAATAACAGACTGCACTTTGACAGTTAAAATAATTCTTCTGTTTTTCTTACCTTGAATTTCTATAGTTTCTCTTCGACATGTTATTGCTAAATGTGACTATCTACTCTAGAATTGACAAATGATTATCATGTTATTTGCAGGTTGGACTTAGATTATCCAATGTGCACCATATTTGGTCATTTTGCTTGTGCGGTTTGCCAGGTTGATATAAAACCTGGTGAGGGTATTTCTGTGCATGCAGGCTCATCAAAATCTGGCAGTGTCTGTCCCTGGGATGGCCCGTTACTTTGCACAAGTTGCCAGGCTAAAAAAGAAGCCATGGAAGGGAAAATACCTTCTAGAGGTTAGCTACAACTATAATCTTATTTGAGAAAATAATCAAAATTGTTCATTGACATAATGATCAAAATAATCTCCAACTATATTAAATGATTATTTTGATCTATCAACTCCTTAAAAAAGAATCAAAATAATCCCATCATAAGATTATTTTAATTCCTTTTAAAAGACTTGAAAGATCAAAATGATCATTTAATATAATTGGGAATCATTTTGATCCTTCATACAGATTCAATTGATCATTTTGATCTTTTTCTCGTTCTTATTTATATGCTGAAAGTATTAATCGCTTGATTTTGTTTGTTGTTTTTGACTTATTTCCCTCTCCAACAAATCCAGACTCATCTAGAAAGAAAGTCGGAGGTGAATAGCCAGTTTTCATTATAATTTGTGGTGGCGTTTCATTTTCCAGAGCTTGCCATTGAGATTTCTTCCTCATTACATCACCAAAGAGATAACTGGAGCCAACTGTAACACCAGGTTCTGAAGCTCTTCTCATCTATAGATCAATTCACAATATTTTACAGGGCAGAGAGTGCCAAAATTGGCATTTCTGTGATTCTGTAACTTAGTAGATTGTTATATTCCTTCCTTTGTGGAGCAAAGCCATTGCAGTGCCTTTCTACAGAAGGCCTTAAATGATTCAATTCATTTTAGATTAATTGCCATGTAAATGTATCATTCTCTAAAGGTTTAAAGTAATATCAGCATAAATTGTATTATGTTAGCAGTTGGTTTTCTTAATGTCAGCTTTCAAGAAATGAAGTTCCAATTTTAAGTTTCCAATTAGCACATCATTTACTTCATTAGATGTTTTTCTATGTTACTTTATGATAGCATTGTTGGTGATTTTTGGTGATCTATGTGAAAACATTGATGAATTTGGGCATGATGTGGCTTGGTTTTATTACACATTTAAAATATATCCTTTCAAACAATGTGTTTATAAATAAAATAAGCTTTTGTAAAAAATAAATAAATTAATATAGGGAATTTATTTCAATAGGGTTTTTATATTATTCGTGTTACAGTCGAGGAGTAAATTTAAGAGAGAAAATTTGTAGAAAGTACAATTATTGAAAACATAAGTAAGAGATTAGTTAATTATAACAAATAGAATAAAATCTGTAATAAGGATGGCTGATAAATATGATTCAAAGATCTTTCTCTATTTGAGTTATCAGAATTATCTTCAAAAATTTACTTTCCTTAATTTACTAGAATTTAAATTTATCCGGCCAATCAAATAATAGCGCCCAATATCATATTATTCTTTTGGGAATGCCTTCTATTTAATATTTCAAATTTATAAAATGAGTTTATTAAACGGGTCAATTTAAATTCGAATTTTTCGTATCGGATTGACATAATGGAATATTCTGTGCGAACACCAGATGGAGAGAATCGTCCGGATTTGTTGCCCTTTTACTGTCATTTTGCTGCACTTTTGAAAAAGGGCATTAAAAGGACAACAAATATTCAATTACGAATGTGTTTTTATTATCCTTTTGTTGCGCTTTTACAAAAGGACAGTAAAGGTGAAGCAAATATTCAATTATTTAGTAAATAACTAAATATTTGTTGCCCTTTTATTGTCCTTTTGCAAAAGTGTAATAAAAATAACAGTAAAAGCACAACAAATCTGGACAGTTCTCTCCATCAGATATCCACACAGAATAATTAGTCCAATATTGACACCCCCTACTTAACATTCTCTATACAAAAATAGGTAGAGTTTACTCCCTCCAAAATATGTGAAGTATGGTGCCAAGCAATGTTGAATCAACATCATGTGAGCTATTTTTTCAAATTGCCAGTAGAAGCCAAATCCTGCTTAAAATGCAAGGAAAGGCAAATCCTTAGCGTTACCAAACACTTGGCAGCAAATGGCTTTCATGCTTGAAAGCAAAGATGAAGATGAACCAAATTATCTTTTCTCTTTGATTTGGATGTTGGCCTAATTGAACCTTTAGATTGGAGACCTCCCATGTGGAGTTCTGTCTTCTTCTACCTTCCATGATAGCCCACAGCTCTTTTGAACAAAAAAAGTTAGCCACTTATAAATTTTCTAACTCATTTACTCAACTTGTTTTTTAGCATAAATTTTAATTTAATACTTACATGAAATAAACTTTATAAGTTTAAAAATATATTCGTATCACGAATTTAAATTTTTAATTAATGTCACTCTATTTTATATGATTATCATGCATAGAATTAATATGAGTGCATGAAATAAAATATTAAATTTTATAGGATGATATGGGTGATAAGAATGAAATATAGAAGTAATATTTGATATTAAAATTTTATATGAATCAGAATATAATATTAAAATTTTAAGTGTTAAATATGTAAATAATATAAAATAAATTGGTATGTATGTAAATTCCTTTAATTAAAAAAAAAGACAGAATTTTGATAATAATTTTCAAATTCTTTACCATCTAGCTCTGAAAGCCCTAATTGTCTGTCACGAGTTTCCATCTATCACATCCCGATCCGGCGAGCTCGATCTCTCTCGCCGCCGCAGACGCCGTCTCTTTCCGTCACGAGCGTGTGTTTTCTTCCTCAATCCGCCGTCGCCTGAACCCTGGAAGTCGAAGTTATAGGAAATCGCTGAGCTTCGCCTCATTTTGTCTGGAATGTGGCTTATTTTCTTTTCCGGCGTCCTCCGGCGTTGTTTCGGCTTGCTTTTCGATGGCTGGAGTGTGCTGCGTGATTGTTTAATCGCAGATCTTCAGTAGGTTTAAGGGCTGGCGTGATGCTGGAGAATGTTGTTGAGAGAAGGCATGAATGTAGCGAGGTTCAATTTATCCTGTAGCTCACACGAATACCACCGAAAGACACGAGATCGGAGATCCTCAGATTTCTGTAAGGGCATCTCCAACCGAAAATGTCATTTTTCACTCCAAAATGCAGGGAAATCAAAAAAATGCCGTTTTTCATTTCCAATCCAACGCCATTTTGACGCTAAAACAGTCGTTTTCTTTCGCGCCTTTCTTCCCTACCTGTTCGGTAGAGAGAAAAAATTGGCGCAGATGAACAGTGCAACGCCAATATTGGCGTCGCACTGTTCATCCGCGATCAAATGGCGTCAAAAATGGCGATCGATTGGAGCAAAGCAAGAACCGCAAACACTTGTTTGCTGTTCGGTTGGAGATGCCCTAAAGAAGACCCGGAGAGTCGGAGTCGGATCCTCTCCGCCTTTTTAATTTACCTTTTTCTATGTTTTTTTACATAAACACCACTGAATGTTTATATTTTTACATATTTCATATCTAAAACAAGTTAATTGTTAGTGATATTTTTTAAGTTCTTCAATAATTAGAATGATATATAAGTTAATATGAAAATTTTGATGTTAGATATTGAAATACTTAAGAATTGGATATGTATAAAAATCTCTCTTTTATTATTATTTTATAACCCATTTTAGGAAAGATTTAAGCAAAATTTATTTTTTTTAGCTTTCTTATTATTTTTTAAAGCAATTTTTTCATATAAAAAATTTTTGAACCGGAAATTTTTATACTAAAAAAGCTTTCTCAAACGAAGACTTTGATATAGCTTTTTTACTACTTTTAAGACAAATTTTTGGTACAAAATTTTTTTTGTTAGAATTTTTGAACTAAAAAGCTGCTTTAAAAAGCAGTAAGAAAATTATCCTAAATAAAGTCTTTGTCTATTATTAATTAAATTTAAGATTTATTAATCCTCAATATTCTAAGGATTTAATAGATTTAATTAAGGATTTCTTCCTTTTAAACTTAAAATTTAAAATAAACAACCAAATAATTTAGTAGGATTTAAAAATAATAATAATGATCATGCCAAATAGTTTTTCAGGTTTGGACCCTCCTAAGCTTTATTATAAAGAATTCCTTTTGCATAACAAAGTCCTTTTCACCCTTTATTTTTCCTTTGCATTTGTGTTTTTATCCATATATTTATCCGTCAATGATAGTGATATACGCATAATCTCCATAAGGAATAAGGAATGAAGAAGAATTATTTGTAGAGAATTCTAAGAGGAATTTTTGGTAGAATTTTTTGATGCTCCCATAAAGACTTTGAACATTTAAGGCTTAGTATGATCAAGGTCATGATGAAATTTATGAAATATATGTAGCCCGTCTTATTTTCTTGACTGGAAGCTTAGGTTATAAACCAAGTGATCTAATATTCGAGGGATCTATATAAGTCTTTGATGAAAAAGAGTGAAGGGTTACGTTAGAAGTTGACAGACAGCATAAAATCTATCAAACAGTAATTACAGAATCTTTAATGCATCGTATTAATACTCGAGCAAGTCAAATGAAATAAAGCAAATTTGAAAACAACTAATTGACTTGTTTTGTAGGAGGATCTCATGAAAACCCTCAAAAGCAGCTGAAACATGTGAGTATCATTTATGCTTATGTAATATTTTTGTTAGGGAGATAGATCATACTCTATCACAAAAGTAAAAGTAACAATTCTAAATACTCTTCATTTTTATATTTTTGATAAAATAGTCTTTGATTCTTAAGCTAATTAAGTTACCTTTTTGTATTCTTCTATAATTATGTAATGAGTTATTTTTGACAAAATTAATTTAATCATCATTTAATATTTTGTTGTGTTTTATGTGAGCTGGCATAATCATTTGTTTTGGTAATCATTATTGATTGATGTTGAATAAATGTTGTAAGTGAGAAGGAATATATATATATATATATATAATGTGAATAAAATGTATAATTTAAACAAGTATTTTGAATTATTAGGGATTTCATATACTTAAAATAAATAAATAAAGGTGGTTGCATCATAAACATTAGAATGTAAGTAAATTAAATACATTAACCACCCTCAACTCAGTTGTTATAAAGAAATCATTAAGTAACTCCTAAATTTTAATATTACATCAACAACAGCACCAAGCCTTTATCCCAATACGTGGGATCAACTATATGAATCATTTTTCTCCATTAAAATCTAATAAATTTGTCATTCTTGTATATGCTCGTTTCATATCCTATCTTTAAGAGTAAAACCACTAATTCACTTGAACATCCTCATCTCTAAAACACTTACTTAATATTATGCTTCTCTTTTAATGGCCAACATTCTGCGCCATAAAACATTATTGGTCTCACCACCAACTTATAGAATTTTCCCTTAACTTAGAGTGAGATTTTTATATCATAGAACAAGCTCAGTGCTAACTCTGAACAATTGACCAAAGATATCTAAAATATATACTCTTATTAATGACTTGATTGCCCAAAATCATAGTCCCCAAACTGAATTTATTACTACCAAAATTACACTCCACATATTCGATTTTAGATCTACTCAAACGAAAACTTTTAGACTTTAAGGTTGACCTCCATAATTCAATTTTATTGTCAACACCCTCGCTAGTTTTATCAACAAGAATAATATCATAAGCAAAAAGCAACTCTAGGATACCTCTTGTAAATGATAACAGAATAAACTTGAAATTCTAATAATAAAATAATATAATAAGATAAAGTAAAAAAACAAAAATAACGAGATTTCAAATTGAGATTGCCTTGGCACTATCACCATGGATCTCCTGGTTTTTTTTTTAAAAAAAATTTGATTTCAATACATTGATATGCTAGATGGACATGATATTTGATAATTCTTTGTGCTAAAAAATGTATTGTAGCTATGAACTTTATATCTATGATTTTTTAATATACATTGTTAGATAAAATTAGAAAAAAAAAATATTACATCAGAATATCCTAATAGAATTTATATTAGAATGGACTTGAAAATTATTAGATTTACTTTAAGATTAACGCATACAAAACTTTTATATACAACGCTATTCTCAAAGTAAATCCAACAATATAATTAGGGCTGCAAGCGAACCAAGCGTTCAACGAGCTACTCGATGCTCAGTTCAATTAAAGCTCGTTTGTGATTGTTTAACTAACTAAACAAACAAACTTGAACAACATTTTAAATACTTGATCCTTAAATAAACAAGCTTGAACACTAATGTGTTCGATTCATTTATGTTCACGAACAACATCATTTGAAGTTCGTAAACGAGCTCAACATTAAGCTTGATAAAAGCTCGAATGGAGAGAAACAAGTAAGTTTCATTTAAGAATATATTCGTATAGATTAATCATATTTTTATTTTAAATAGACAACTGCTTTTATTATAATTAAGTTTGAGTGGGACAATTCTATCATAGAACTAGCTTTGTGCATTCCTTCACTTTAACCATCCAACTTGAATTCTACTAATAATATATCCATCTATTTCACCATCACTCTATACAATTGACCAAAGATATCTAAATGTACTCTTATTAATGACTTGATTGCCCAAAATCATAATCCCCCAACTAGATTTATTACTACCAAAATTACACTCCATATATTCGGTTTTAGATCTATTCAAACAAAAATATTTAAACTCTAAAGTTGACCTCCATAATTCAAGTTTACTGTCAATGCCCTCGCTAGTTTTATCAATAAGAAGAATATCATTAGCAAAAAGCATACACTATGATACAATCTCTTACAAATGATAATAAGATAAACCTGAAATTTTAATAATATAAACAATATAATAAGATAAAGTTAAAAAAACAAAACAATTTGATTTCAAATTGAGATTACCTTGGCACTATCACCATGGATCCCCCTTTTTTTTTCTTTTTTCTTTTTTAATTTGATTTCAATACATTGATATCTTAGATGGACATGATATTTGATAATTCTTTGGGCTAAAAATGTATTGGAATTTGGAACTATGAACTTTATACCTATGATTTTTTAATATACACATTAAGATAAAATTAGAAGAAAAAAAAAAAAAAAAACATCAGAACATCCTAATAGAATTTATATTAGAATGGACTAGAAAATTCTTATATGTACTTCAAGATTAATGCATACAAACCTTTTATATATTTTTTTTTCAATAAAATCAACTATGTTGATAGACTCATAGGCCAATCTAATGTGAGAATCTTAGGCATAATCTCAAAACCCTAATTCAATTATCAAAATGAATTGAATTCGAGCAAAATTTAATTTATACTCATTTTTTACGAGAAATTGTATCTAATTTTTTGATTGATTATTTACCCCTAATAATTTCATCCATTTTAGAGCAAGCGAAATATCATTATTTTAGGTGGGCCAATTTGATAATTCAAACAAAGAAATTTAGCAAAAAAATCTAATTACTTATTTGGTTGAGGGGACAATCAATTTGGCCAAAGGTTCTTATTTCAGTGTCTAAACTTAAAGGTGGTCCCTTTGTCCACCTAACTCATCATAAGGTTATTTAAAGCATGTCTTAATAAAAAAAAGTAAAATAATTATTAAAAAGTTGGCATCATATAAGACAAATTAATGTACCATTCTGATTTTGACCAATTAAACTGCCATAATGCTCCTATATCTTACTAAGAGAGTTCATTAATCCCTTCCATATCTAATCCTCTATTAATATATTTTGTAACATTAATATTCCATAGTTTAATAAATACAAAATTTCTCATCCTTTTCTATTGATAAATGAATAGATTTAAAGTTTACTATATTATTTGATTTAATGTGTTATGCCATATTGTTTTATATTACTCACTAATCATATACATTTTTTGTTCATTAAGCTCCTCTAATATATAATATCTCACATAGTATATATGTTAAATATATCTAAATTTATGAATATGATGAACCTTCTCTTGGTTTTAAAAGAGTTTAATTTCATTAACCAATAGCTCAACCCGACTTGACTTGGTTATACACCTCTCTCTCTCTCTCTCTCTCTCTCTCTCTCTCTCTCTCTCTTAATATTTGTACTGACAAGTTAAATCATATTTCTTCTCTCTCCTATTCTACATTATCTTACAGCTTAGCTTATTATCATCTCAATTAACCTAGGCGGGCAGCCTGCGACTATAACGATGAGCTAGCACTAACAATAACGAAGTCACCTTGCGGTGCATTTGGAATTCAGTCAGGTGGGCAGCCTGTGGCTATGACGATGACCTAATGGAGATGGGCGGGCACCAATAATAATGGAGTCACCTTGTGTTGCATTTGAAATTCAGTTAGGTGGGCGCGCAGCTCGTGGCTATGATGATGGGGGGGGCACCAACAATAACGGAGTTACATTGCGGTGCATTTGAAATTCGGTCTAAAATGAATAAATTTGATATATAAAAAATGAAAAAGGACTAGAATTTCTAAAATTTTATTTTGCATTCCTTTATATCAAACTAAAAACCAAATTTTTTTGAAGCTCTATATTAGAAATGCTTTACACTCACATATCATACATAGAACCCCTTAATGGCTATAATTAACAAATCAAATTTAATTTAAATAGCTAGAATAATACTAATATATAACACATAATAAAGATATTAAAATAGCAACCTTACACATTAAAAAATTAATGTAAGAGATACTCTCACCCAGTAAAAAATTAAGTCAACAAAGAGACATGTAACTAAGCTCATATGGCCCATGAATCTCTCCTCACCCCCTCCATCTCCTCCTCTTTTCTCTCCCTTCACTTCCTCCTTATCTCTCGACTTCCCTTATCAACTTCCCTGCATTCTCCCTCTCTCCTCAAATCCAGCATCAGAAACCAAACCATGGAAACAGAGAAACATCACAAACCACCAGCCTCGGCGCGGGAGCCTCCGCCACCGCCGGAATCACCACCTTCATCACCTCCTCCTCCTTTAAACTCTTCCCCATCCCATGAATTCTCCTTCACCATCTCTCTCCACCCTCCCACCCCTCTCTCTTCCAACACCACTGCCTCCCTCAAGCTCAAAGAGCCCGCCGCCCCTCTCCTCGACTTCGACCTCTCCCCCGCCGACGAAATCTTCTTCCACGGCCACCTCCTCCCCCTTCACTTCCTCTCACACCGCGCCTCCAACGCCTCAATCGAAACAGAACACAACCTCTGCAAAAACACGGAGAATAAACCAAACACAAACAGAGTCATTGAAGGCGGCGCCGACGCCTCCTCCAACCACGGAGAATTCAAGGAACGCACAAAGGCGAAACCTTTCTCTACCTTCTTCGCTCTCCGGAAGTGGCTAAGAGGAAGCGAGGACAGAGAAGCAGAAAAACAGAGAAAGAAGAAGACGAAGGTGTTGGGCAGATTATGGAAGAAATATGCGAGCTTGATAGAGCCGCTTCTCTTCTTCAAGCCCATGAAGGACAAGCGAGAATTGCGGCGAAGTCCTTACTCCTTCTCCCGCGACTGCAATCCACGGGAAGGTGGCTGGCGGCGGCGGTGGCGGGGAGATTTCTCTGCTCCCGCGTCGATGCGGACGTCACCGGCGAACAGCGGGCTTCTTGTGGCCCCGTCGAGTACGTTTTCCTCTTCTGATGAAAGCACTATGGAGGAGTTACAGAATGCCATTCAAGCTGCTATTGCGCACTGCAAAAGTTCTGTTGCCGTGAAGGAGAACCAGTGTGGTTAATTAAGTGTGTATTACTGAATGGTTAATCACTTCTTTAAAGGTAGTTAATGTTTGGGAAAGCTTAATTTTTTGCACTTAGTTGTATATAATAATTATATCATATGAGTTCTTAGAATTCATAGAGCTTTGAAAGTGAGGGAATGATTTTTTTTAATTAAAAAAAAAAGCAATAAAAAATCAAAGGGACTATATAAAATCATGACAGTATTAGATTTCGTTCGGGATGATTTTCTTAGTTCTTTATAAATCAGTTTTGTAGTACAATAATTTTTTGAATTTAAAAATTTTGTTATTAAAACTTTCTTCATAAAGCACTAAAAAGTCATTCCAAACGAAACATTAGTCACATAAAAATGATTTTTGACAAAAATTATCACAATTTCAAATTTAAGTTGTAATAAAATTAACATTCCTTTGATATAAAATATATAAGAATATCATAATATAATTTTGTTTATGGGAAGTTTCCATGTCACTATGAATAGTCAATATCTCACATCTTAATTTCTTATGCATCCAGATGAAGAAAGTTTTAAATTTTTCAAATGATTATTTCTTTTGTGATAAGAATCTAATCTAAATAAATCTATAGTAATCATCAACAATCACAAATTCATACCATTTTTCTTCTAGCTGGTTGAATTAACTGGTCCAAACAGATCTATATGAAGAATTTGTAGTGGCCTAATTTCATACATTAATGTATAAAATTTATTAATAGCTCATTAAATGAAATTGAAATTTGATTTGTATTAAATTTCAATTTCAATTTTGAGCCAATTTGGATGTTGAGTCAATTCTTATTCTTGATATGGAAGTAGTAAATTTGGATAGTTATTAAGGTTGGGGGTATATTGGGAAGGATTGGACATGAAGTCATTTCCAAGTCCTCAACAAAGGCTATTGATTTTTTGGAGAGGAGAAGATTGGTGTCTTATTTGTATTTAATGGAGTTGGGATATTTAGTTCTGTGGCTCAGATAATTTCATATGAAAGTCAGGTCCCACTTATAGTAAGCCCTAACATGGTATTTGACCTTGGTCACCCAAATCTATTTGACTTGGTGCCATAGCTTTCTATTTAAAAAATTAAAAAGAATTCATCTTACTTAGCTTAGTTGGTGGGCGAGTACGGTTGGGAATCCCCTCGTAAGTGGGGCCCAATTAAGTGCAGGCCAGGAGGTTTCTGGTGGATGCCTCTTCTAGGTCAACCACGGATTAGTCACGCCGCCAAGCGCACTTTTGGGGTGGCAGCGGGTGGATACCAGTTCTAAAAAATAAATAAAAATTATATATATATAAACTTATTTTAATATGCTCATATATTTTAAAAATCAATAAAAAAATTCTAATTTTTTAAGCGAGTGTGATGTAGATATATAACGTATATAGGAACAAGCAAAGCTCAAGTGAGTTGGGTGTTTGTTGGTATTCGATTTATTTAAATTTATATTAGTTTGGAAGAGGCTTGAATGCCAAATTTCTTGGAAAAATATCTTTTTGTGTTGGGTTTGTTTTAATTTAATTTTGCTCTTTCGACTTGATTTTGTTAAAAAAATTTAAATATTATTTTTGATGACAAAAGAAATTTTTAATAATTATTGATACGGCGTCACAAAATTAGCTTGATCTGGCACGAATCTCGAGGCAAAAGCTAGTTGGAAACTTCAAAAATTAATTCCATTCGCACCCGAACTCCGATTTCAGCAACCTTATAGTCGAACTGAGCGTCTCGGAAATACGAACCCAACGACACCAAGATCAACCCAATCCGAGCCCAAATGATTTCTCTACCGCCGCGAATATTCCAGGACGCAACAATTATAATATTACTATATTTTTTAAGAATTTATTAGATAATTTGGGATAATAAAATTAATTCTTCATATCTTAATGTGCCACGTATACAAATACTCCGTCGTGCAAGGAGTTAAGGGCATCTCCAACCAAATGTCATTCGCTCGTTTGCAGCTCCGACGAGTGTCCAATCGAATGGCGTATAGAAACATGGTTTTGTATTTTATCTCGACCATGAACAGTGCTATGTCAATATTGACTTCACACCGTCCAGAAATAGAATTCAGTTCAAGATGAATTATTATTTGATATGATTGTTATTAAATTTTGAAGTAGAAAATATATTTTTTAGTTGAAGATGCCCTAAGCTAAACAATGAACTTTTTTTTCTTTTTTGTTTATTTTTGGACAATTATACTAGCCCCTTATCAGGGGCGGATCCAGCTTCTTTTCTTAGGGTGGGCAAAAAAAAATTTTTGGTAGGGCATGGGCAAAAATGATTAGGATTGATAAAATTAGTGCGAAATTTTTTTTTTTTTGAGAGGGGGCAAAATACCCAAAATATTCTAAAAAATATCCTCTAAAATTTAAAAAATATTTTTTTGAGGGTGGGCATTTGCCCCCCCTCACTAGAATGGGGATCCGCTTATGCCCCTTATTGTTTGTATGGAGTGAAACTTAGAATTCTAAGATTAAGGTTTCGTTTGGGACTGGCTTTCTTCTTGCTTCTTAAAGTTTCTTATTAGTATAAAAATTAAAAATTTTATACTAAAAAATTACTTTAAGAAGCAGTAAAAAAGACAGTACCAAACAAAGCCTGAATAGTTAGCAGTTTGCCCAGTTTAAAAAAACGAACGACGTGGGCACGCATGCAAGTGAATTATCATATTTATATTTACGAAAAAGGTCAAAATCCTTTTTTTATAATGGTCTATGGCTCAATGCACAAAGATGCATGCTGCCCAATAAATAAGCGACCTGGCCTGATTACTTTATATAAAAAAAAATGAAATACTTTATTTTAAAATAAACTCTCTTTTTTTTTTCTATGAAAGTCTTCAATCGAGGTATATGGATATAAAATAAAATTAAAATCCACAATAAATTATATATTATTTATTAATTTTTTTTTATTTTTTGAGCTTAATTAGAGTCAAATACAATTGAAGATAACGTTGTTCATGCTCGCCTCGTTTACAAATTGAGCTAAAAAAAATTTGTTCGGGTTCATCTTGTTTACTTAACGAATGACTGAATGAATAGAACTTGAGCTTTGTAACAAGCAAAATACAAGTTTTTTTTTTTTTTTAACAACAAACTTTTTTTTTATAGCCTCAATATATCTTCCAATGTATTTGAAACTCATCTAAATCATAAAGTTCTAAATACATCAAAAATGAAATAGATGACGACACAACCCGAAAATCCGACTTGAACCCAACCTAAAAATTTCGGGTTATGATCAACCCATTTGTGAAATGGGTCAGATTCTGGTTTAACAAACCGACCAGTTTCAAAAATCAAATCAAGTTCGAGTTGACCCAGAAATCCGAGAATGACTCGAAATGACCGAGAAAAAATGCGCTGACCAAGTCAATTTCTCACGTTGGCAGAGTCTACCCGCATCTCATCAAGTCCCGCTAACGATGCTACGCTACCGGTGCTACTCAGTGCCTGAATGAGAACATAAAAACGAGTCAGGTCAGGTCGAGTCAACCAGATAACCCACACGGGTCAAATCTGGGTTGAAATATTTGCCCCATTTGCAAAAACCATCGAGTTCGGGTCAAATCAACTAATGTCGAGTCAATTCCGACTTTGACTCGTACCCGACCCGAGACCTTTTTTTGACAGCCCTAATGACGAGTTTCAAACCAAACATCAATATTTTCATAACCCCTCCATTTAAAATACTTTAGACTCCTTTTGCAATCGACAAAACCCCCTAGTAAAAACCTTTTCTTTTAATAAATTATACTAAGACATACTTAAATATTTACTTATTTATATACGTAATATTTAAGATTCTAACTTTATTTGTATACCATTCCTTTTTAACAATATCAAAAATATCATTCACATTAATTCATTGAAAATAGCCTTCAAGGGCAACTTATAGATGATAATAAATATCTTTGTAAGCTAAATACTTCTAAAATTCTGTTGGAAGAATATAATGGCCACCTTAGCACTTCTCGTAAGTCGTGACAATAAATATTAGTTTGGTGTTATTGACTGCTGAAAAACGAGCAGAGTCATGTAAATTAATATTATTTTTCAATATCTTTTGATCTGTCAGATCAGACTCAGACAACTAATTTAATAATTTAATACTCTATAGCTCCGATGATGGTCTTTTCTTATTATGGAAAATAAATGAGATTAAAGGAAAAAAGAAAAAAAAATCACTTCTTTTAATTTATCGAAAAGTAATATAGTTTGCATATATTTTCATAATAATTAATTAAAAGTTTAGTGATATCTAAAGCTATATAAAATAAATAACAATATTATATAGGTTACAATTGTTTAAATAATAATATCGATGAAATGTAAAGCATTTTACTCAACATTATTTATATGTAAGAAATGCGAACGTGGATTAAAAATCCCTGCACAAATTAATAATTTAAAAAAGTTTGTAGATATATAAATTTTTAAGGCACTTCTGAGTACAGTTCACAACAAAATTAAATAAGATAACTCTTAACTGGGTGACAAATCATCATTCTTTTCTTAATAGAACATCTCAGTGAAATGCAGATAGAGGCAAATAATTTTTAAATTTGTACTTTTGAAGAAAAAAGAGTAATGCAGTCAAAAGCTATTATAAAAGTAAATTAGCAGCACAAAAAAAAAAGGGATTTTTACATACATAACACTTAAAACTATGTTATTTACTCATTTAACACCTAAAGTTTTCTATTTACACACATGCCACTTAAAACTATTTCTCATTTCTAAAATACCACTCCGTAATTACTCCGTCCCAATCTCCGTGAAATCCCGCTGGACTGAACTTCGCAAGGCCCTCCACGCCGGAGTTCCGGCGATCGGGCCTCCACCGCAGACGACGGCCTGTCCGAAGCAATTATGCAACGTTACCAACGCTATTCCGGTGGCCGCCGGACACCATTGTCGCAGAACCGGACTAAACTTCTCTCTCTCCATCGCCGCAAGTGCCTCCGTGTCTTTCGCCAACTCGATCAAGATATCGATGGGATCCTCGTCCACCTCCACGATCATGCTATCGACATGATCATGCCCTTTCTCTAACACCTTCGTAAAGGCATTGCGGATGAATTCTTCCAGATTCTTACTGTCGGCTTGCACCAACAGACCTATTCTTACTTAGTAAGGTGCCCTGTCTCTAACACCTTCGTCGCAGAGACCTTTGAATATAGAATTCAACCCGGCTTGCCCCGCAAGGATATTTTTAAAAGTCTGATAAATATTCTTTCAATCAACCATCTTATATTGACCCTCCTCGAATGATCTTGTTGAATTATACTGTTAAAATTAACGGTGTGCTATTTGTGAATCATATCAGAATAGATAAAGTGAGATTGGACCGGCGCGACGTCATCGCGAAGGTGATCGACACACTAGCCTGCGTAGCCGGTGGCGGTGGCGGAAACTTGGTTAGGAGATGCGAAGGCTGGCAAAAGCTGGACACTTGGGTGCATCTATCTGACGGTTCTTAAGAAATATCCGGCGAGGCTTTTCGTCACTTCGTACACTTGTTTTTTCGGCGTCATCCAGTTTTTGATCATAGCCGCCTTCGTCGAGCGCAAAGCTCAGGCTTGGGCTTTTCACTCCGGGACTGAAGTTTTTACCATTCTTTACGCTGTAAGTTACATCCGGGAGAGAGAAGTTCAGTCCAGCGGGATTTCACGGCGAGAGAGGGACGGAGTGGTTTTTTAGAAATGAGAAATAGTTTTAAGTTGTATGTGTGTAAATAGAAAACTTTAGGTGTTAAATGAGTAAATAGCATAGTTTTAAGTGTTATGTATGTAAAAATCCCAAAAAAAAAAACAATAAAAGATGCTGGAAAGACATAGAAGCTATAAAATGGAAAGACGTGTTTAAAATCTATATTTCCAAAGAGATCATTTCCTATATGAATAAATAAATATGTGGGTATTTTATTAAATTCACTAAGATTCTAAGAAAAAAATAAAAAAGAGATTTTTACATACATAACACTTCAAACTATTGTAAATACATATTCAACACTCAAAATTTTGTATTTATTGATATAGCACCTAAACTCCGCATTTTCATCTATTCTAACACTCCATTACAAACCCATCAAAAATTCCTATCAGCCGTACACCATCTTTCGTTTCATGCGAACAGTCGCTCACATAATTGAGGACACGAAGAGCAAACCTTGCCGACCTAAGAAGAAGAGAGGCCAGGGAAGGCAGTATCGGACTTATGTGGATTTTTGACTGGGTTGTAACGAAGTCTTAGAATAGATGAAAATGGGATTTTAGGTGGCAAATCAGTAAATAAAAAAAACTTGAGTGTTGAATATATATTTATAATAATTTGAAGTGTTATATATGTACAAATCCCAATAAAAAAAAATTGCACTTGTAAAAGCATTTCCCAAACCTCCGAGGATATTTCGAAAAGAAAATGCTCGACATAAATTTGGTTTCCTTGTCCCTCGGATTCAAATCAATTGTTAGATTAAGTACCTGAAGTCGAAACCGGTGTAGCACTACGCCACACCACTTTGCCCTTTATTACGCAGCATCCGCTGGATCACTTTAACCTTGGAAATATTCTTGCAGCATCAAAAGGGTTCGGTTAGATGAGTAATATTTTGTTTAGGACAATTTTATTGTCTATCAAAATAATTTTTTAACCAAAAAGTTCTTTTAAAAATAATTTTTAAAAAAAATTGCACTAAAAAAACTGTTTCAAACGAAACTAAAATCATTTTGATGCTGCGTAAATACTCATGAAGATAAAAATATATGGCCAAAGCATTTAAATAAAATCATGTGATGAGTTTGAAACAGAACTCTTTCTGCATAAAAAGTGAGAGGACGTTGCTTGCACTCTATCAGACTGCAAAGAGTTTACTGATGTTCTAAGAAATTTAGAAGATCCTTTGACAATAGTACGTACAGCCGATGCTCGAGGACTATTTCTGCCAGCTTTTTCATTGAATTCGGTATGCTTTGCTTTAATTGGCACCTGATCATTAGCTTGATTGGCTGCTGTTTTCACTGTCGATTCTACAGGAACAAGTTTACCATCCACTTGGTTTGTAAATACAAACGTAACCTGTGAATACATGGTCAGCATGCAAAAGAAATTCTATTACCTTACTGAAAAAGAAAATGTAAAGAATAGATGAAATGAAGAAAGAGGATCATAAAAAAGCGAAAATTATTCCGTGCGAATGTTGAACGCCGTCCAGAGATCAACTAGAATGTGCAAGTCGCCCTCTGCTTGGTACCCAGCTCGGTGTTGCTCAGTACTGCGGCTCGGTACTGTTCAGTATCTGGCTTGGTATTGATGACGTGACGTATTCTTGTTGGTCTCCGAACGGTGAACTGTGTTCGGCATCCACACAGAATAATTTCTCCATAAACAAAGCCAAGCCAACTACTGCTCAACTCAAATTTGTCAAACCCCAACAGAGCTTCAGTTTTAAAATCTTGTTCAATCTTATGTATTTAATTTTAATCCAGCTCAAGTGGTAGTGGTAATTTAATCAAGCCTAATAAATATAAGTTGCAAATATTATATACTTGTAATCTCGTTACCTAACACGTGTATGTCACAAGACGTTGAAAAATTCAATTGATAAGCATTTTTTTATTTTTATTTTTAATTCAAAAGCATTAAAATAAGAATAAAGTCAATATATCATTTAATGATGATCATTATGATTTTCCTTCATATTCATAGTTTTGTTAATATTGTCCACTAAGAATACAGAGGAAGGACATTAAGTGTGATGTTAAAAAAATTAAATAAAGTAAATTAAACAAACACAAAACAGTCTTCTATTAATTTTTTACCAAACTACTTATCAAACAAAAAACAAGTAAATTCATTAACACGAATAAATAAACAGGTGAATCTTCAAGGGCAATTAGATGTCAAGCTCCCTAAATTGGGTGCTAATTTGATTATGAACATTAATGAGCCTTAGTAGACCGGGTATCAAGTTAAGCCTTGTGACCTAATAGCAATAACGGTTTTATTTTCCATAGAACAACAGAATTCCATGCGATCCAATTGTCATCTCCGAAAAGAGGTTTTTAACTCCATATGCAAATCTAGAAATTTGGTTCATTTTTCAGAAAAAAAAAATTCCTTCAGGACTCGTAAATCACTAAGAAAAGTTAGTGAAAGCATACGAAAAGGCAAAAATCATTATCATGATAAAATAATAGTAACAATAATAGGGTAAATGCTCTAAGGCAATTTAAGGTTTCACTGTTTCAGTTAAATAGACTTGCAACAATGTTATCCCCGTTACATACATTCATCTATTCGTTGCATAACATTAAAATAGTAAAATATAGTTCAAAGACCTACGCCAACCCCAATTCTAAATACTAAAAATCATAGTCATAATTAGACTTATCCCAACTATCTGAAAGCAAAACATCAAAAACTTTTTGTCTCGGGATCTAATGCTATATATGATAGTCTCACACTGAAAATACACATTGAATTTGTATGAGACAACTAGATTTTCCCTAGGAATGCAAGTAGACAAAAGCAAGAAAGTTAGGCTAGTCTCCCAACGGAAATACACATTGAAGTTGTTGAATGAAATAGGTATGTATGTATGCACGCCAACCAAAACACCTACTGACGTAGACCAGAAGTATAAGAGAAATAGATGATGGAATTCCCATAAACAACGGGAGGTCGCATAGATTGTTTGGGAGACTAACATATTTATCTCACAAAAAAGCTAAAAACTGCATTTACAATCAATATTGTAAGTCAGTATGCATTCACCATCTAAACATCATCAAAATGTTGCCTACACTATATTTAGATACTTAAATTAACAGAGAAAATGAATGTTTTGGGGGAAAAAAGAAAGAAGGAGAATTAATGCTTTTACAGATGTAGATTAGACGAGATATATTCATGGCAACCGGTCAACATTAAGCTATTGTACTAACGGGGAATGTAAGAAATAATCCTTTGTTCGTGTAAATATTGACTTGAGAGTACTTGCTCTAGAAATTTGGCTGAAAAGGTTAATAGAAAACTAGAAGTATAAAAAATTTGTCCAACAAAATTGTTCTGCAACCTAAAAGTTACAATCAGTATCACACAGAATCATGCCCATGATGATCAAACAAAAAATGTCGAATTGAGTATGTACATTTTAAAGGAAAAGTTTGAACAAGTGACAATTTGTATAACCTGTGCTCATATTTGGAAGCCATTGATATGCTGACAGAGGGCATCCTACATCAAGGTTTTAAACCTACTCAAGAAGTTGGGAATTAAAAATATCTACAAGTGTGGCAAATGTGGAGATTAAAGTTTTGTTTAGGACGGCTTTCTTACTGCTTCTTAAAGCATATTGCTAGCATAAAAATTTAAATTTTTGTACTGAAAAACTGCTTTAAGAAGTAAGAAAGCTGTATCAAATGAAGCCTAAAGCCCTTGTGGAAAGCATGGCATTAAAAGTTGAATTTTCAAGGAATTAAATTAGGATTTTTATCTGTTGCTTGCTGTAATTCCCATTCCTAATTATGGCCGTTTTTTATTTTAATTTGTCTAGATTAAAGAAGTCCTTTTACTCTGCCACGGGAGTGCTAATAAAGTAATTTAGCGAAACTGCGAAAGCCTGACTTTCATATGTTTTCACATGATCATTTCCTAAGGCAAAAACAAGAAAAGATAAAATATAAGAATTTAACACACCTCATCACCAGCCGCGGCATGCAGTATCGCATCTGGCAGAGTTTCAGGGATGGAGTGATGACCCCAGTTATTTAAGTCTTCCTCAAGTGGGCACCCAATCTGAATTGAGATTCAGACAAAGTAAATGGAAGACAAATAATGACTCTTAGTTCAACCTTAAAAAAAAAAGTGTATTTACAAAATTGAACCTGTCTTTCCGATTTTTTTAACTTGTGCAAGCATCCAGCAAGTTCGGCAAATCCACCAATGTCATCAGCCGATTGATTTACTTGACAGCTTCCACTTGAATCTTTACTCCTAACATCCGAGTAACCGTTGTTGTCTTCCACTTCTTGAGCATTAGTGTTGCAACGAGCACAGTTCATGTTTTCATGAATCTCAGACCTATAGAAATTTAAAATAGAATAAAACATAGATAGGATAAGATGGTTAATATGATAGAAACTGACGATGTAACAGGAAAACATTTGCAGAATATGATAGAAACTGACGATGTAACAGGAAAACATTTGCAGAAGTAAATCTAAGTCAAATAAATGTACAAATAAAAGAAAATGAAGAATTAAGACATCAAATGAGTGAAGAAATTCTAATCCGACAAGCATAAAAACATGATCATATGAGATTGTCTTCATCATTGATTCTTGAAGTTGCCGCTTGATCTAATATTGTGTTGATAATCATCAAGTGCTCATCCAAACTGACAAAAATTCAAGAAGAAATCAAAGAGTAACAAAGATAGTATAGATCAAAAGATGGATTAAGGGGTTGTTTGGTTGTCTGAATTAGGAGGGTAAAGTAAAACAATTACAGGTATTTACTAATTTCGGTTGTTTGGTTAATTTTGAGCGGAATGAAAGGAATACCTCCGAAGCAATAGCGGGGTATTAGGGGAGGCAATTCGCGCGACTTCGAAACCCGCTCAAATTGAGCGGGTTAGAAATTCTTTTCGGCTGTTGGGGGATGATTTCGCCGAAGCTGACATATATTCTCCCTTCTTCTCTGTTCTTCCTTGCTCTCTTCTCCATTCTTGAGATCGTGCTGACGTTCCCGCATCGTCGCTTCGCCTGGTTCTGCAAATCCTCCGCATCCATTTCCCTCAGACCTCTTCCCACCAGATCCCGCGCCCTCTCTTACGGAATCTCTTATCATGTTCGAAAATATGGGGTCTCTCCCTGGATCTCAATTGTGCGGGCTTCGGTTGCCTCAACCGCCGCCCCACTCCCAGCCAAAGCTAGCGAAGAAGAAATTGGAGAAGATGGGACCGATGACTAAGAATGAGGTCACAATGGCAGTGACACTCCTAGTTATACAAAACGAGCGTATACAGAACACCGCCGGCACGGCGAATGGCGTCGGCCGTCGGAGATGGAGCCGCTTGCGGCGTATTCGAGGAATATGTTGTAGAGGCGATTGATTCCGCCACCAGCAGTATCTGTAGTGATGTCGTGACCGAAGCAGGAGATGATTTGCGGGCAGCCATGTAGTTCGGTGAGTATGGCCTCTTCGCGCTGAAGAAGGGAGGCAGAGGAGAGTGGGGCAGATTTGACGGCATGTATGGTCGGAGCCGGGTAACTCCGGCGGTGAAAGGCCAGGTGGACGGCACTGGAGCTTCCTCGTCCGATAGCGGAGCCTCTCACCCAATCCATCTTGTATGCTTTTCTTATTAGGAAAATACGAAGCAGAGATACTTAGCTCTGTTTAGGAATCTTACGGGCACAGAACGAACTGGTTATGACAGTTTACTGATCCAATTATATATAAAAGGTAAATCTCTCACCTCCTTGAAAAAAGGATGTAAAAAATATGGTTCCTTCTTTTTTTTTAATTCTAATCCCTAAAATTAAAATTAAATTTCTCTCAATCACAAATATTATATCATATAATTTCAAAAAAAATTTATCACTGCTTTTATAAATATATTAGTTATAATGACAAAAAAAATATTACAAATGCACTGATCTTACTTTACTCTGGATATATCTAATCAAACAAGGGAAACAGTTCTCCTGTGCTTACTTTACAGACAACCAAACAGCCTCAAAATATTTGGAATGCACTACATTTACTTTACACTGCATTTAATTTACACTGCGTTTACTTTGCAGGCAACCAAACTGTAAGACTCAACCAGATAACCAAGTGAGTTGCTAAATGCTACTTATAATTCAAATTTATTGATTAACTATTTGTTAAATAGATTAATATTAAATAGGTAAGTTTAATGTTAAATATTTGTTACATTAATAATAGAAAATAAATGGATTATGTAATTTCAGTTAAATAAGTAAATTTTTTTTTTATTATGAATAGATGCATAGTTTGGGTAAATAGCAGTTATAGCTTGGGGCCCACTCTCCTAACCTTATCTACTTTGGATAAGTGTTGTTACGGCATGAGAATAAAATGGGAGAGAAAAATGAAATGCAGATATCACGGAATAGAGGGAGCCGCTGATTTTTGACCCCAAAAGAAATGATACCTGCATAGCAGGTGGGGCAAAAGGGACCCCTAAAGAGGCAAAAGGGACCTCTATGAAATTCAATGGCGATAATGCCAGGTTTTCCTGGGCTCCATTGAATTTATTTATGAAAGAATAGCCAAATATTTTAATGAGAAAATTGATATTCATTATGGATCTAAGATAATAGTTAAAGGTAATGCCAAATGAAATATTTGTAGTATCTCTAATAGTTTAAATTTCATTCATGTTTATTGTTTTAAAATTTTAACATGCGAGTTTAATACTATTTTCAATTGCATAACTTACGGAGCCTCATAGCTTACCAGTTATCTTTTACTGGTTGTTTTTACAGGAAAAGGGAAAGGAAAAGTGGAAGAAGTTTGATACGCAAGTATTTAAGTTTTTTTTTGTTTATTTAAAAGTTGAAATCTACTCTTAAGGTTAGTAAAGAAGTTTTAATGTTGATTTATTTTGAATTGTTTTGGATTTCCTTAGTGGCTCTGTACAAAGTCTTTGATGTGATGAAATTTGGGGAATTATTAGATGCTTCCTTTATTATTCCGAACGATATTATATGATCTTTTATTTAGATCTGAAATGAATTCAAAAGAGTTCAGAGATAAATGATGGAAATGTTATGATTATTATTGTTGCACTGCAATAAAGTGTAGTTCTATTGTGGGGTGTTACACAAACAGCCCCTAAATGAAGTCAAAATACATAACTAAATATCGAGGTACAATTCTACAAATTTTCTTCAAGCTTCATATTTGGAATCAAAAACTTTTAATCCATGAGCAAAAATATCGAGGTGCAATACAAATTGTTCCATTTAGTATGTGATTAAAAACCTTTTACCACAGATTTATTCTCATAGGTCCTGAAAAACACATCCATCATAGTTGTTGATCTTGCTACTCCCAAGAATCTATTGATGAAGTCACTTGAGCTCCACCATCCATCCATAATTGAGGTTCGCATAACCCTTGAAAACACATCTATAGAATCATCCAAAATGTGCAGCAAAGACATGCTCTACAATAATTAAGTTGTGGCTTAAGCAATTGCAGAAGAAGTGCTATGAAGGAGGCATGAGCTTCAATAGTATGACCAACATAAAGCTAATATAAGGGGATGTCATGAAGTTCATGTGATCAATTAGAGACCCATGGTTTAAACTCATGCTAGCCACATTTACTGCTATGCTAAAACCAACATCCTCTTATAAATCAATACTACTATTATAAAAGGGATTTGAATTGAGTTTCCACTCAAATAAAATCATAACTTTCTATTTTAATTACTCAAGTAAAATCCTAGCCTTCCATTTTGATTATTAAGATTTTTTAAGATTTTAATTGTTATTTTATTTACATTAATTACATTTAAGTAAGAGCCAATAGAAATGCCAAAGATTTTAATTTCATTTATTTCTAAATCTTAACCTTCCATTTTATAATTAATCTAATATTCAATATTAATTTTAAATCAACACCCCTTTTCACCTCCCAATTCTATAAGACAAAGCATCAACACGCCTATTCTCCCCCTGCTGCTTGTTTGCCGACCCCACGTAGTGGGATAAAGGTTTGATGTTGTTGTTGTTGTTGTACTCTTTTGAACTTCTTGCCTTTTCACCTCCCAAGTCTAGAAAACAAAGCAACCTCAAATCAAATGTAATTCCTATTTTATAGTTTTTTTTGTATGTTTCGGCCGTTATTTTGTAGTTTGTTGAGCTTGACGTTATGCATTATATCTTCATAAATATTACTTCCCTTGTAAAGACCGGTCTAGTTGGCCGGTTCAGTTGAGCTTCTATTAAAACCCCGATTCAACAGAGTGAGCAGAAGGACAGGAAGCGCGATTGGGCGGAGCGTGCTCCGCGATTTCAACAAGGCTCGGTTCAGTATTTAAAGTGAAGGATTGCGTACGTGGGGGGAAAATAAATACTCATTCGTTATTTGCTCGTTTCTCTCATTCCTTTGGATGCAAACGAACAGATAGCGACAGAAACCGAACGAGAGAGAGAGAGAGAGAGAGGAGAAGAAGGTAGGTTTTCACATTTTATGCATTTTTTCTACATCTTTTGAGATTTAATTTTATGAAATGATTTATCATCTTAAAAGAAGGTAGAAGAAAGAAACTGAGAGAGAAAGAGAAAGAAATTGGAAGAGGAAGAAGAAGAATTTTGGGCTTTGGAATTTCCTTCTTAAGGAAAAGTAAGTGATTTATTTTAAGGTAAGAATTAATTAGAGGAATGTTTATGAAAAGTTAAAAATAATAATAATCATTTGATATTTGTATGTCTTTAGGTTCTATTGCCTAAAGTTATTTCACGGATCAAGGTTTAGAATCAAAGTGGGTAGTTATAATTGTGTATAAATTTTATATTTGTATTTTCATTTTCTTTCAAAAATGAATATTTATGATAATTATGGGTGATTACCATTGTGTATAGGCATTTTTTATTTTATTGTTAAACTTCTATTTAAATTTTAAAAGTAATGTTTACTTATCTTTTGATATTATTAGGTGAGAAGATTCAAATGAATATGTGATGATGAATTTTTGACTTTAAATGAATATGTAGAAGAAAAATGTATCAAATACATGATTTAAGGATATAAATGCATATGTAAAAGAAATAGATATACAATACTTACATATATAAGAAAATAAGTAAAAAACGATGAAAGAATAATATGACCTATATTATAAATAAAAAATATAAATAAACAAATGATAAAGGGAAAAGGATATGCATGCAAAATTACAGGAGTTTATCCCTGTATGGTACTGGCCCAGGAAGCTGTACTCGTGAACATTAAATGAAAATGAAAAAAGAAATGGAAATGGTTGTATATTTGACTTGAATACAAGCATTATTAACCCCTTCCTTTCTTAAAACTCCCCATAGCAC